AGTCGTAGGCTTTTGAGCAGTAAAAAGGAGACGTTAAATTCCTGGAAATGGCACCATAGATCATGCAAACACCTCGAACCCACAACTTTATATGTGCTTAAAAGTATATTTATAGGCAATGGAACAGCGTATACTGGCGCTTTCACAGGAGAATCACCTACTGAAGTCTCGCTTGGAATCCCGAACAGCAGCTGAAAGTCTGCTACAGACCGCCCGTTCGGACTTTCCCGCTCTTCCTCCACAGAGCAGCACGGTAAGCTAAGTGAACGAACTGTAAGCTGGAGCTTCATGGGTAAATTTTCCTTCATCTTACTCAGAGGCATTGCTGAAGAAATTACGGACAGCGCACTTTCCGCCGCTGAGAAAAATTTTGCAAAATGCGACCCTTCTTAAAGTCCCTCCTCCGGGACGTTACCCTCCCCTCCCTTGCGCATCCCGCCACCCCGCCAACTTTCTCCAACTTCCTACTGCTTTTCTACATTTTCCAGTTTTTTCTCAATATTTTGCTACCTAGCGAGTGGGAAAGGGTCGCCACCAAACCTTTTCTAAGTTCAACTATCCAAATAGTTGATGTGTAGCCACCTACTGGAGCGGGGGAGAGAAACATGAACAACCAAAGACTAATAACTTCTGAGGATAAACACCACCCTCCCCCCCTCCCTTCCACTGACCAATTGCGACCTCAGCTGGGGTCGCAATTGGTTTCCCAACGAACAACGTGTCCTGGGTATGGATTAGGATGTCTTGATGGTAGAAACATTGGAACGTTAGTTTTTATTGGTTTCTGCGGCTCATCTAAGTTCATTCATTCAGAATCCGAGGTGTTTGGGAGTTTCTCTAGAGCCAGGGAAACAAGGTGGTGTAGAAAGCTTCTGAGGTGCTACGAACCTAAAGAGGGAGAGGGAGGGTTCCTCTGTATTCAAGGAGGTCCTCCGTATGACCTTCACTCCACTTCCTCTATTCTCCAACTTCGAATTTCTAAGAATTTTCTCTCCACATGAGAAGGGGTGGGGAATGCACTCATAGAAATGTGAGACAATCGCCAAACTTTGATCCGAGAATTTCAACACTCAGGTGCTGACTCTCTCAACAACAATACGACCCCTCTGCTGCGTTCTTCCCTCCCCTCCTCCCCGCGATCACCCCTGAGGAGGGTGTCTTAACGATGATGTGCAGTTACTAGAGCATTCCTCCATGAAGCTTCCTCTACTGACACTGTTCTTTCGTATTCTAAGACGTATTCCAGTTACAGCCCAACTGGGTTCCCCGAGGTCAAATCAATTGGCCAACCGTCCGTCTGTGGGCTTTGCCCACGCCCATTCGACCGTTCTGACCATTGCCCGCACCCTGCAATACAACGACCACCGTCTCACTGCTTGGGCCACTAGCGCTGCATGTGCCTGCTTCATCCCACCTTCCTCAAAACCTACCCGGATCCTCAATTTGGGGGCAAAACTTCCAGGCAAGCACTACACCGCAAACAGGTTTGTCGCATCTTCAACATGTTCCGGGCTGCCCATTCCGTTTTTAAACAGTGGTAGATGAGCTGACCGGTTGGGCACTGTTCAAACCGTCTCATGGGATGGCGCAAATAGAGGTCATTCGGCTGTAATTGAATGCGGAGCAACAAAGCCTTCCCTGTAGCTTCCACAATTTGACAGCAATTTCGTATCGATGACTATTTTTGGCATCTCGGCTATTTTCAGCCCTTTTCAGCCCTCCTGGGGCTTCCTCCCTTGTTTGAAATGTTGATTTGGCTCTACAGCTAGGCTGTGAGGCTCCAAAGATTCACTTATAAAACCTAAAAGTACTTCCAAAACTCTGACTCCCGGAATGTACGAAATTTGGCGCTGCTCGGCATGGAAGGAGGGGGCATTTTACACTTTTGTTAGTTGCTTTCGCTAGTTGAGTAACAGGTCACTCTGTGATTCCTGTAAACTCTTGTGGAGCTACAAACCGGTACAAATGAACCATGAAAGGGATTTACAGGTCTTCACAAGATTGCTCAATACCATTTGCCCTCCCCCTCCGCCTCCGAGACGGATTGCGCCCCAAAGTTTTTTCTGATTTTTTGAGCCTTTTAAGTCTTTGTAGCACATTAATCCCATAATGCTATATGATATTCAGAAGGCTAAAAGCACCGGGACAGTACTTCACTTTCGAAAAAAAATTATCGCTTAATTTTTCTGTTCAGTACCGCCCCACGCCGTCATCATCGGTATTTTCCGTTGGTTCGGCGTTTCAACCGTTTCACGCTCACAAAGAGTCCGTGATTATGAAGGCCGAGAGGATCAGCCCAGATTCGAGCAGCGATCGCGTCGAACGCGTCATTCAACGAGGTGATCTTACCAGCTACCATAAAAACATTTAATCAAGAAGTTGATAGTTTTGTTTCTAATCAGTTCCTTCGCCTCAACAACTTCAACAAGAACGAGCTCCCTCTCAATCACTACTAGGTGCTCTACTTGCCACTCGCCGAACATCGCCAGCAGTACCGCAGAGCAGGACCGAGCATCACAGTCGTCTCGGCAGTCCTCCTAGGGTTTGTGATTAGTTGTTTAAAGAAATTTGTTCGTAGATAGTGTATTAATGAAGAGGTGGAGGTAGTATAGTAGCAGGTGGGCCCCTTCACCACGAGCGCGGTATGGGGGGTCAGATACCCAGATACCGCCTATGCCCGCCTGCTCCAACCAAGCCTTTTACCCTCTGGGTACGGTAAAGTTGTTACCGGATTCGTACATTAGCTGGCCCTCTCAAGTTACTGTAAAGGCAACATTGCACT